TTGGAGACCGGTGATTAGGCAGTCCCCTCGGAGCGCCAGACGCACAGCTGTACAGCGATTACCGCACGGCAAATAAGTGCCTATAGAGTATCGTTGCGCGCTAGGAATGTCGCCTGGCCAGCCCTGCTGGCCAGGGTGTGGTTCGTGCGTCGCTGACGCTTCAGGTTTGCCCTCGGGGCGGGTGACCAGTGGACGCAGTCATTAATGCTGCGTTTAGTTGTCTAGTGCCGTGCGTCAGTTTCTTTCGGCCGTGCCGGTGTGGCCGCGCTGGACAGCGCTGCGTGCGCTCAGACCGCGCCGTGTGGCGCTAGACCGCGCTTCGGCGCACACGCGCCCTGGCGCTCCGAGAGCAGCAATTAGTACTCTGCAGTAGTGTAAGGCCCTTGGCAGCCCCGGTTTCGCCTCGCCCTGTCCTATCCGGCACCCCGAACGCAACCGTACAGCAAGCCATGAAGGCTATAGGACATAAGGGAGATTTCCGTAACTTTTCCATTACACTCGCTAAGAAATACTTAGCTAGTACATGCTCCCGACCATGTATTAAATTGTCGACCTCGCATATACTCTTCACATTTGTGTGAGCTGAATAGCCAAATATTTGGTGCGTTGACCAGTGCAGTCGCGGCGCTCGGAAGCGACAGACGCCTGCTACGCAAAATCGGCGAGTGCTATTTCCTCGTCAATGTCCTTCCAAGGAACTCCTGCTGAGTACCTTGGAACTCATATGAATGACGAGGCTCGCTTGAGATAGCTTCAAGTGCAGCGTGGCCTTGTCAATCTCGAGTCGGGTCACCACCCCGCTTTCCCGGAATATCATCACGAGTTACATCATTCGCAAATGTCGTATGGAGGCCTTAACCAGGTCGCGTCCCAGCACAACTCTGCGCGCTTGCCGACGGTGCCCATGGGGACATTGTCTAGGGGAGTCAAGGAATGCGAGCGAAAACGTGCTGGGCAATAGTAGTAATGTGCTCGAGGGCTAACGTAGCTTAAAAGTGAGCAATTTCTTACAATCCGTACGTCTGATAAAAGTTGTAATGTAATGTAATGTAATGTAATGTTACAGAGTGGGAGGCTTCTGGGCCGCTTTATCACATTGTCAGTTCTACGATTTATCATCTTATAGCACCGTCCACCACTACCACACTATACTTCGCCATACGAACTGTAAGTCCAAGGCGGCGGGTCCAGCCATCTAGGACCCCTCCTCATCCATTCACCCGAACAACCGAAGAGACGGAGGGTTCGGCAATCGCCACCAATCTAGCGTGCGAATCTGGTCCATCAACTGCGACCTCAACTCCACATCTCAGCAGCTAGCCATAATCTCGCGCTCCCGACTAATTCGGGGGTCTCCCCAGGGGGTCTCCCCAGGAAAAAGTTGTGTAAAGTGGGCCCAATGGCAAGTGAAATTAAGGAAATTTCTTAAGTTCTCTATAGAACTTAAGGAACTTTCCCAGCCGCTGGCCAATGGAAAGACCCTCTATGCAACGAAAGTCAATTCCGCGGAACGATGTCCAAAGCGGCTTTGGATCATATTATGTCTAACCCTCCAAATTCAGACAACCGGACATCCATGTAGATCGAGGAGTTAGAAATCGCCATCAGCTGAGATTATGCTTCAATAGATACGATAACCTCCACGTCTCAACAACTACACCAGACCTATGCCGAATTCCTTAACAAAAATCAAACCTAGTACTCTTAAGAATTCCACGATTGCATGTCGCGAGC